TCAAATAAGCTTATTTGAAAGATACTCTTATAGCGTCTATCATACATTGCATTTTATTAACCCAAACCTTATATTTTGTAAATATTCATTTGAAGATCATATTAGCAAAAAAGGGTTATTTACTCAAATGGTTCTCAAACTTATACCTGATTTACATTTTAATCTCTCAATTAAATTATTTGTTCAAATGATCCATCAACTCTATATTATTTGGTCTATTGGTCATACCGTTATATTCTATCAATATTTTCATTAAATATGAAGGCAAATTGTTCATTTCATCTATAAACTCCTCTTCTTCTTCTTCTTCTTCTTACCTCAATTGGACCTACAATACCTCCAACTCCTCTTTATCCATTGCCTTTGTCTCTACGCCCTCCCAATCTGACAGCTAGGTAATTCTTCTTCTTCTCATTCCTAGCTCTGCTAGTCTCACCCGACCTCCCCATCCTCAGCTCCTACCTCCACTGGACCTACAATACCTCCAACTCCTCTTTATCCATCACCCTTGTCTCTACGCCCTCCCAATTTGACAACTAGGTAGCATGGGGCATCAACCCCACCTCCACCAAGATGGCTGGGGCACAGATCCTTTTGACCTACAACACAGATGATGGGATCCCAACTGTCAAAACCTTCAACATCAGTTCATACACCTCCATGATACCGGGAAAACTCTCATTTGATTTCTAGGACATCAGCTCCGGATTATGAAAAGTCATAGTTGGGTGTTATGATTTTTTTTCTTTTTTTCTTCAAGTGTTTCTAATTTTATATTTATTTTAACCCTATTTTTATTTGTTAATTATGAAAAGTCATATTTACCCTAAAATTTGGTTAAATCTAATAGAAAATTAGATAGCATGACCAATTTGCCGAATAATATAGAGTTGATGGACCATTTGAACGAATAATTTAATTGAGGAACCTAAATGTAAATCAAGTATAAATTTGAGGACCATTTGAGTAAATAACCCTAGCAAAAAATCACTTGAATCCGATATCATTTAACCACTCAATTAAATTATTAAGTTTTAGTAGAAGCATGTTTTGTAGGTTTGGATTTTAGATACCATTTTATCATCTCTGCACATTTTAGATGTCTAAATAGTTTCCGATTTGTCTAATTTTTTGCAAGAATGATCTATGAATGAAAACTTAAAAAATAAATGACTTGGATCGTTGGAAAAAAAATTCATAAGGTACCCTAAAGGATCCTAAAGGGCATCCCTCAAATAAAATTATTTAAAAAATTCCTCAATAGAATGAGAATATATATATATATATATATATATATTGTGACTCCGATACTACACTATAAGCAGTTCATAATTAGTGACATTTTGGCGTTTAACCCTAAAATAGAAATCAACATAGCCCAATCAAAGTCATATAGTTTTTTAGGGTATTTTTTAATGTTGAAAAAGATACTTTATCAAACACCATAAGAATGGATATGATGAAATTATAACCATGAGGTCGATGGACAAATGCCACACAAAGACATCTATTACTGTTAATAATATAGAAGGTTCCCGGAAAATTCTGGTTCATAAGCATATTCTATGACACACACCCTGACACCCACACAAAAGAGAGAAGAAAACAAAACTGAAAAGACCTGGAAGAAAAAAAACGGTGATATGGTCCCCATCTCATTTTATCCAAAAGAAGAAAAGAAAATCAATGAAAATATAAAGTTTAATGACCTGAGCCAGGCGTCCTCCAAACCCTTAATTCCCGTAGTTTAACACTCCCTCTTAAACCCTAAGCCCTAACCCCAACCACCACTTCACCGGCACTGACCACCTCCTGTCGCCGCAGCAGCCCTTGTGTTGCCGCCGCCCCCCATAATTTTTCAAGTGAGTAGAATTTATATTTTTAATGAAATTTATATGTGTAATGTTTTTTTATGGATTATAATTTATACAAATTTATAAATAAACCCAATTCTAGACATGTATTTATAAAAAAACCCAAGTACTATTTAAACATAGAAACACACCCAAAATTAACCCCAAAGTCAACTTTTTGGGTGTGTTTATAAATGGGTTTTGAGTGTGTGTAATGATGGGTTTTGGGTGTGTTTATATGTTTAAATAATGCTTGGATTTTTTTATAATTTCAACCCCCATTTTGGGTGTTTTAGTGAAACTCCCTATAATTTATTGATATTGTTATTTGGATTTGATTTTATAATTGATTGATATTGTTATGTGGGGGTTAGTTAACCATCCTTGCTCATGTGGTCACTTTATAATGCAAGTAGTTTCTCTCTGTGGTTCCAATCTCATTGAGGTGCTATTCTATTCAATAAATCCGCTAATTTTGTTTCTTCGTCTCTTTTTTTTTTTTTTTTTTTTTTTTTTTTTTTTTTGTGGTCAAATAGAGAAAAACCCTTCTAAGACTCTGTTCATATTCAATCTATTTCTTCACGCACTTGGTTGCAGTGAAGTGCCAATCTTTTTTGGTCTGAAGAAGTGCCAATCTTTAACCCTAAAAGCTGTATTTATTTTTTTTCAAAATCCAGCTTCTACATGACAGCTAGTGTTAATGAAAATACACTAATGGCTATAAGTTAGTGGGTTGGCTCCTCCCTATGCCCTAGGACTTCACTCAAATCATAAAGGGATGTGCTGGGGTTGGGCTAATTCTTAGATTGAACTTATGTTCGTAAAGAAATTAACTAAATTTGTACTGCCTTTGATTATGCTCTACTTATTTAAGGTCATGGATGCACAAGGAGAGAAATCTTTGGCATTGTTTCTAGCTAAATTTCAAAAGAGCATGTGGATAAAACAACGTATGTTGACTCTGTTCCCTGTAAAGTCAACCAATTTCAACAGATTCTAGTAAATGTACCCAAAAAGAAATTGTTTTTGCATTCATTTTCTATGCAGGGAGCTTTGTTGTTGTTGATGCAAGTGAAAAGGAGAAGGTTGTTGAATCTGGCAGCAAAGTGGCATGCATTGTTTTGCAAGTTCTGTTTTACAAACAAGTTCGTGCGCTTAAGAAATCACCAGAATGGTGTGTATTCTCTTCACATCTTGTGCCACTATCTCACTATATGCCACCCTCTAAAACTTGGCTTGCATAAACATTTAATAGTACGATGTCCTTTTACTCTGGCTTCCTTCATATGGGTGAAGGTCTACTGTTTGAGCATTATATTGCAACTGTCAAAATTCTTTTTCTTTTTTCTGTTTTTTGTGTGGAAATAGTAGTCCAACAAGCCTCCCATAGTTTCCATACCTAGCACATGATCCTACCGAAAGATGGGAAAAGGTAACTTATGGAAGTGTAGTGTGAAATCCTGCAGCCTTGTGGCACATTTTCTGTAATGTTTTTAAGTGTTGAGAGACAGGCACTGACACGCATCTCCTCCACCTCATCTTTTTTTTTGTTTTTTTTGTTGTTGTTGTTGGTCTTTTGTTCCTTATATTTGCTTTAACCACCCAATGAAGGCCAGAAATCTTCAAATCCGCAATTCCAGATGGATGCAACGCAAGTCTGCAGGGAGACACTACCTCCCAACAAGAAGAGAATGAGCTTGACTCAAGTGATGATGACGGACTTCCTCCACTAGAAGCCAATACGAACAGGATGAAACCAGTTGATTGGAAATCGGACACAGAATCGAATTCTGATTCAGATACAGATTCATAATTCAGAATCAGACTTAAGTTCCGCAACTAATTCTTTAATAGTTGTACAGAAGATGTATGCTGAAACAACTGCATCCATATCCAAGACGACATGAAGTGAGGATAACAATGTCAAACTTGTGTCCGAAATTTTTGGACTGAATTTTTGTTGACCATGTATGTAATCATGTATTAAAATACATACACACTATTAATCAATCCATTCATGTAACGTTTAAACGTTTATGCAGAGCCTTCCACATGGAAATATTCTCATTCAAAGTCCATAAGTGCATGATTATTTATTTTTGGGGAATGCTAGCAATCTTCTCTCTAAGAGCACCTCTAGCGCTCCAATTTTGCCCGAGCAGAAGGGGGCCTAGGGCCAAGGCTTGGTCTCCAACGCGCAACAGAAGACTGGGCAGCTTATGGGCTCCACAAGCCTGGGCAGGCCCAACGACAAAAAAAATCTTTAAAAATATCATAATTTTCAGAATTTTAAAAATAAATAAATATCTAGTCATATTTTCACTTTCCACACCAAAATTAATGGTTTAAGTATAAAAAAAAATAGAAAATAAATTAAAGTGAATAGTAATTGCCCTTGCCGTTGCCTTTGGGGGGTGGAAACAAAAAAGGTAATGGCTGCCACTATTCA